TGACGGTGATCATAGTGATGCGAATGACGGTGATGACCATGATGATAACGATGATGATGATGATGATGATGATGATGATGATGATGATGATGATGATGATGATGCTGATGATGATGATGAGGATGATGATGATGATGGCGGTGGCGATGGTAATGATGATAATGATGATGATGCTGATAATGATGATGATGTTGATGATGACGCTGATGATGATGATGATGATGATGATGATGATGATGATGATGATGATGATGATGATGATGATGATGATGATGACGGGCATGTTGTTCATGATGATGCTGATGGCGATGATTGTCGACGGTCGGCAACGGTCGGCAACGGTCGGTAACGGTCGGCAACGGTCGGTAACGGAATATGCGTTTGTCAGACAACCCGCGCTTGTCGTGACGAAAAAATCGTTACCGACCGAGCCCGAAATGCGCTCATCAACCGTTACCAGGCGCGACCGATCGCGACCGAAATGCCGTCAGTAACGGTCGGTCTCGGTCGTTCCCGTTCGTTCCCGAAAATTTTCGGTAACGCATGATCTGGGCTGGCCTGGCGGCCACGCTCCCGCGCCGGCCCTCGATCCCTGGGCGGCGGATGCCGCGGCGTGCCGCGCCGCCTCCCAACCGGCGCTGCCGCCAGCCAGCCCTCCCCCAACGCACGCACCCACTGCCCCTCCCGTGGTGTCCGCTGTCCTGCAGACCCCCGACGGCGTCGCCGCTTGGGAGAAGTGGTGCAGGTTCTATCGTCTCGATCCTGGCCTCACCGCGTTCTCTCCCGGTGTCTTTAAGGGGTCTCTCGACTAGTGCCACACGCGCGGCGTCGACGTCAAAGTTCTGCTGTGCGGGTCGTCACCGACGGATGAGCATCGCTTATCCGATCCCTATCCCCAGCGGCGTGGCCTGGGCCCCACTGGCCGATTTCCCCCGCTAGATGCGGCCCGGCGCGGATCCAAGAAGTCCGCGCGCAGCGCCAAATTATCCCAGTGCGACCCTACCTAGGAGTTGGACCCCCTAGGAAAGCAACATTAGTAGTAACAGTAGCGCTAAGCTAAAGCTAAGCTAAAGCTAAGCTACAGCTAAGCTAAAGCTAAGCTAAAGCTAAGCTAAAGCTAAGCTAAAGCTAAGCTAAAGCTAAGCTAAAGCTAAGCTAAAGCTAAGCTAAAGCTAAGCTAAGCTAAGCTAGCTAAGCTAAAGCTAAGCTAAAGCTAAGCTAAAGCTAAGCTAAAGCTAAGCTAAAGCTAAGCTAAAGCTAAAACTAAGCTAAAGCTAAGCTAACGCTAAGCTAAAGCTGAGCATCAGCTAAGCTAAAGCTAAGCTACAGCTAAGCTACAGCTAAGCTCAAGCTAAGCTAAAGCTAAGCTAAAGCTAAGCTAATGCGAAGCTAAAGCTCAGCTAAAGCTAAGCTAAAGCTAATATACAGCTAAGCTCAAACTAAGCTAAAGCTAAGCTAAAGCTAAGCTAAAGCTAAGCTAAAGCTAAGCTAAACGCTAAGCGAAAAGCTAAGCGAAACGCTAAGCTAAAGCTAAGCTACAGCTAAGCTACAGCTACGCTACAGCTAAGCTAAAGCTAAAACTAAAGCTAAACCTCCCAGGGGACTGGGGGGAACCGCTCCCAGGGGACTGGGGGAACCGCCCGGGGCGTGTTCCACTGCCCGGCCCCTTTCAGCTAAGAGGGTAAGAGCCCTTCTAGGCAGAGCCTAGGTAGGGAAAAATCATATGTTCATGGCGTTTGTCTTCTCCGAAGGTCCTCCCTGCCCCGCCCATGAGGCTGCTTGGCGCCTCGGGCGCGGATCTGCCCGCCCTCGGCGCTGGGTGCGGCTTCCCGCCGCCCGCCCCCGCCCCTGGGGGCAGCTGCCCGCCCTCTGCCGCGGCCCCGCTGGTCTGCCGCCTCCCCCGCCCCGGCTTGGCCCCCTCGGCCCCCGCCTGCTCGGCCTGCCCGCCCCGCTCGGGCCCCGCCGCGCTGCCGGGCCCCCCCTCCTGCCCCGGCTTCTTGCGGGGCGGGTGGCCCCCAAGAGAGCCTCTCTGCCCAGAGGCTCTGGGAGGCTGGCGGTGTCAGGCGCGGTAGGGGGTGATGCACCTGTCGCAGGCCACGGCAGCGCACCCGACGAGGGGCGGCCACCAACCCCCCCCAGGAGGGAGCGGGTTGCGACCAGCACGTCACGCCTCACAGGGCGGGCGGGAGGGACTGCAAGCGCGCGGCACCACCCCCGGGGGCTGGCGAGGTGTTTGCAGAGCGGGTGGCCCCCCAAAGAGCCCGACGCGGCCCCTGGGCGCTTCGCCCGGGGGCCCCTCGGCGTCGATCCCGCGCCGCTTTTGCCTTGCCGACGGCTCTGGCCTTTGCGCGCCTCCGCCTGCGCCCTGGACCTGCCCTGCTCGGGGGCGCGCAGACGTGGGTTAGCGATCCGTGGATTCGGCGCGCGGTCGCCCAATCCATGGATCGGGCGAGGTGCCCTCCCCAAAATGCGGCCAGTGCCGCCTCGTCCGGCGGCGCAAATCCGCGGTTTCCCATGGAAGCGGGCCCCGTCGCTGACCCACGCCCCCTTGATCCATGTTTGCGATCGCCTGACGTGCGCCTGGGCGGCACATTGCCTGCCTGCCGCCTGCTGTCCCCTCAGGCCCCTGGGCGACCCTCGTGCCCTCGTGGCTGCTGGGTCCTCTTTGTGCGCCCGCCTCGCACGATCCGCTGAAGTGCATCTCCCCGGGGTCAGCCTTGGCCCCCGCGGCTTGCTGCTCTCCTCGGGCGGCTTCCGCGCTCTTGGCGCCCGCCGCCTCTCCGGGCCTCTCGGCCTCTTTTCCGCGCGGCCCGCCGCTTGAGCAGAGACCGACCTTCCCGGCATTCCTATAGGCCTACCACGACAGTTCTTAGAACCCCAAAGCGTTTCAATAACAAAAACAAGGTTCTGATAACATAGGCACGATGCGTTGAAACATGACAGTCCCAGCCAGAAATGTTCCAAGAGCATGTCGTCCTATGTCGGGCGCTGGCAGAACTGGGTTTAGTGGGACCTGGTTTAGTGATCTGTACCGGGGACGCCCCCCCGTCCCCTTCCACTAACCGGAATTGCCGTCGCCCGAGAAGCACCCAGCCACGGCAGACCTGGCTTAGTGATTCCAGTCCATACTTTGGGCTTCGGGGCCCAATCACTAGTAACGGGCTCCCCTCAACTCGGGAGCGGCCAAGAGGGGGGTGTCCAAGAGGGGGGGTGCAAATCATGACCGGCGGCACGTGCGCGGCCCAGCGGGCGGGCCTGGGACGTAATGAAATAAGAAGAGGCGCCATGAAACCTGGGGAGACATCATGGCCCCCGCCATGATACCCCCCCCCCCCCAGTCGTCACCCCCCTCTTATTGCCGCCCCCGACTAGACCCGACCACGGGCACGCCAAGATGCTCCGCCACTGCTTGCGCCGCGCCTCTCTGGCCCCCTCTCGGCTGCCGCCCCCGGCCTGCCGCTCCGGCCTCGCCCCGCCCCTCTGCACGGCCCGCGCTGCTCCTCTGCTTATGACCATTGAAGGGGCCCTGGGACACACAAATAAATACACGCAAATAACAAGATTCCCCATATCTTCCAATCATTTCTGGGTTTTTGTCTCCCCCCCCCACTTCCCATATGTTCCCATATTTTCAGGGGAATCGACGATTCATTGTGTCTGTGTGTTTTTTCCTCCCGAATCATGTCGCGCCCCGGCCCTCCTCCGGCCCCTGGCCGCCGCCTCCGGACCCCTGCCGAAGCCCCCTGCCCGCCCAGCGTTGGCGTGGCCCCGGCGGCGCCCTCCCGAGAGATCCAGCGCGCCGAACAAAAACGCGACGGAGGCTCGTCGCAAGCTTCGGCCTCTGGTGGGCCCTGGCTGGGCCTCGGGACCGTCCGATAACGACTCGGGATGAAAAACCGGCCCCTCCCCCCTCCCCCCCTCCCCCTCCCCCTCCCCCCTCCCTCCCCCCCCTCCCTCCTCCCTCCTCCCTCCTCCCTCCTCCCTCCTCCCTCCTCCCTCCTCCCTCCTCTGGTGAACGGGTCGAGAATTCCCGGGGCCCAACATCAAAGAAAACATCACGACAGCGGATCTCTGGGCCCGCGCGCCGCCCCTTTGGCGCCCGGATCCGATGCCGTGACTTGTACAATGCGGGGTCCCCGGAAGGCTCGACCCATTCCCCAGGGCCGGTCTTTCATCCCGAGCCGCTTTCTGACGGTCAACTCCCCAGGACCAGTCTTTCATCCCGAGCCGCTTTCTGACGGTCCCGCGGCCCGGCGAAGGCCTCTGGAAGGCGCAGACTTCGACAAGAGCCTCCCGTCGTGATCTTTCCGATGCGCTGGATCTCGGGGCCCCCGGCGCGGCGTCGCCTCGCTGCTACCGCGCCCCGCCTTCGGCCCCCGCCCGCCCGCTGCCCCGCCGCCCCAGGCCCAGGTCGGGCGCGTCCCCCTGCAGGTAGTTTTTGGACGAGAAAAATAGAGGACGAGAAAGCAGCACCAGCCAGCAGGACAGGAGGACTCAAAAAATAGTCCCCGTCATATTTTTCGCCAATTCTTGAACAGTCCCCCTGTAGAGGGACATGCCCGACTGAACCTCGGGCGGCCGCTGCCCCCGCTGCCTGCCCACGGCCTCCGGCCGCCGCCCCCACGAGGGGCCGGCCGCCTCGTCCCCGGCGGGCGTGCTGCGCCTCGTCGCCGCGCGCGAGGCCGCTATACCTCTCCGAAGCAGCTTGTGCGTGTGCGCGTGCGCGTGCGTGCGTGTGTGTGTGTGTGTGTGTGTGTGTGTGTGTGTGTGTGTGTGCGTGCGTGTGCGTGCTGGCCATCGCTCGGACGTCCCTCTCCTGTGCTCTTTTCGGCTCCGTGCGTGGCTTCTTCGCCACATGATCCAGGATGCTCCCCGAGGGTCCTCGCCGGAGGGAAAAATGCACATGTCCGAGGGATGCCAGGCGAGCGCGCGTGTGCGCACGACTCCCCCGCCGCTCCGGGGGGGGAGGAGCGCGGCGCCCGGGCAGGGGGGCCGCACGCCTCTCCGATCATCTCGCCGCTCAGCACGAGCTGCTGCAGCACCTCCCCGAGCGCGCCGCGCGGCGCGGGCCCCCGACGCAGGGCCCCCTCGTCCTCTTCGCCCTCGTCGTCGCCCCCGTGGTCCTCGCCGTTGTCCTCGCAAGTCTCGCCCTGGTCGCTTCCTCGCCCTCGTCACCCTCGCCCTCCTAGTCGTCCTCGCGCTCCTCGTCGTCCTCGCGCTCGCTCTCGCCGCTCTCGTCCTCGTCGTCCTCGCCCTAGCCCTCATCGTCCTCGTCGTCGTCGTCCTCGTCCTCGCCCTCGTCGCCCACGTCGTCGACCTCGTCGGGGCGCGCGAGCGTCGCGGCGAACATCACGACGGGCTGCTCTTCGTCGTTTTCGGCCGCTGGGGGCTCTCGCAAGGCCACGTGACCGTTAGCAAACGGCCCAAGATGAGAGCTGGTTTCCCTACAGGAATCCACAGAGACATGACGTCCTGTTTTTTTGTTTATGCGCGGTCACCAGAAGTCCCGACCCCTAGGACGAGGAGGACGAGGACGAGGAGGATGAGGATGAGGCTGAGGACGAGGATGAAGAGGAGGAGGACGAGGAGGAATGGAGGAGGAGGAGGACGAGGAGGAGGAGGAGGAGGAGGAGGAGGAGGAGGAGGAAGAGAACCTAACAGCGATGTGTATAGGCATATCTGGAAGCATTCCCCTTAAGATTCAGGTGAGAATCTAGTTGTAGAATTCTGCTGTTCTCGCAGTCGCAGTCGCATTCGCAATGACAGTCGCAGTGGCAACGGCCTTAGGATCCAATGTAATCCTAAGGATTCCTAGGGATTCCTAAGGCATCTTAGACATCCTGAGGAATACATAGGAATCATTAGGAAACCTTAGGAATCCTGATTTCTAGGGATTCCTCGGGATTCCTAAGGATTCCTAAGGCATCCTACGGATTCCTAAGGATTCCTGCGGATGCTTAGCTATGCCTACGGATTCCTAAGGATGCCTACGGATTCCTAGGGATTCCTAAGGATTCCTATGTATTCCTACGGATGCCTCAGCCTGCCTCAGTTTCAGCCTCAGCCTCAGCCTGCCTCGGCTTGCCTCAGCCTCAGCCTCAGCCTGCCTCGGCCTCAGCCTCAGCCTGCCTCAGCCTCAGCCTCAGCCTGCCTCGGCCTCAGCCGCAGCCTCAGCCTCAGCCTGCAGCTCAGCCTACCTCAGCCAGCCTCAGCCTGCAGCCTCAGCTTCAGCCTCAGCCTCAGCCTCAGCCTGCCTCGGCCTCAGCCTGCCTCGGCCTCAGCCTGCCTCAGCCTCCCCTCCTCCCCCCCCCCTTCCCCCCCCCATTCAGCCTCACCTTGTCTCAGCTTCGGCCTGCCTCGGCCTCATCCTCAGCCTCAGCCTCAGTCTCAGCCTCAGCCTGTCTCGGCCTGAGCCTGCCTCGGCCTCAGCCCTCAGCCTCAGCCTGCCTCAGCCTGCCTCGGCCTCAGCCTCAGCCTCAGCCTGCCTCAGCCTCAGCCTCAGCCTGCCTCAGCCTCAGCCTGCATCAGCCTCAGCCTCAGCCTGCAGCCTTGCCTCAGCCTCAGCCTCAGCCTCAGCCTCAGCCTGCCTCAGCCAGCCTCAGCCTCAGCCTGCAGCCTCAGCCTCAGCCTGCCTCGGCCTCAGCCAGCCTCAGCCTGCCTCAGCCTCAGCCAGCCTCAGCCTCAGCCTGCATCAGCCTCTGCCTCAGCCTCAGCCTGCCTCAGCCTCAGCCAGCCTGCCTCAGCCTCAGCCTGCCTCAGCCTCAGCCTGCCTCGGCCTCAGCCTCAGCCTCAGCCTCAGCCTGCCTCAGCCTCAGCCTGCCTCAGCCTCAGCCTCAGCCTGCCTCAGCCTCAGCCTCAGCCTCAGCCTGCCTCGGCCTCAGCCTGCCTCGGCCTCAGCCTGCCTCAGCTCGGGCATTCAAAATATGGCCCAGGATTGTGTTCTGGGAACACGAAGATCACGAAGTGGCCCACAGTTTGCTCCGGGCAATCAAAATATGGTACAGGAACGGTGTTCTGGGAACACGACGAACATGAAATGGCCTACAGTCTGTACAGCTGGCTTCGGGCATTCAACATGAGGCCTGGGAATGGTGTTCTGGGAGCACGAAGAACACGAAGTGGCCTACTGTTGGCTCCGGGCATTCAAAATGTGGCCTGAGAATGGTGTTCTGGGAACACGAAGATCACGAAGTGGTCTACTGTTGGCTCCGGGCATTCAAAATGTGGCCTGGGAATGGTGTTCTGGGAACAGAACCTGCAGGAATCCATAAGAAACTATGGGAATCTATAGGAGTCCTGGGGAGTCCCCGGATTCCCCGGATTCTCCCGGCACCCGCCCAGACCCCCCTGGGGAGTCAAGATGCTCTCTTTTGAGCCCACTAGAAACCTATCGGTCTTCGCTGTTAGGTAAAAGAAGAGAGGAGGAGGAGGAGGAGGAGGAGGAGGAGGAGGGAGGAGGGAGGAGGAGGAGGAGGAGGAGGAGGAGGAGGGGAGGAGGAGGAGGAGGAGGAGGAGGAGGAGGAGGAGGAAGACGAGGAGGAGGAGGAGGAGGAGGAATGGAGGAGGAATGCAGGAGGAGGAGGAGGAGGAGGAGGAGGAGGAGGAGGAGGAGGAGGAGGAGGAGGACAAGGAGGAGGACGAGGAGTTTTCATCCTGCGTCGTTTTGTGACGGTTCCAGGGCGCCTGGCGAGGGCCCCCAGAGACGGCGACTCTGGCGACAGCATCTCCGCCCTGGCGAACGTTATCTTATTCGGCGTTTCGGCATTGGGCGGAAGGGGGGGGGTCTGGCTCCGGACCTCTGCTTAATAATGCGCCTGTTTGCGACAGTGCGTCCTGTGGGGGAGGCTCCATCTGCCTGGAACAGGCGCCAAACACAGCCGAGACCTACTCCAGGGGGGGGGCTGGGAGCGGGGGGCGAGGCCCCGCGCCGATCGGCAAGACACCGAATCACAAAACGACCGCCCGAGTTCTCCACGGCGCGGCCACGGCTGGGCACGCCACGCTGTCTCTCCCGGGGGAGACGCCCGGAGCAGCAGCACGGCGCGGGGCAGCGCGCGCCACCGGGCACTCGTGGCGCCGACTTCGGCCGCAGCGCGGGGGGCTGCGGCGAGGCGGCTTGGCCCACCCTGGCCGCTGGCCATCGCTCGGACGTCCATTCCCTGTGCTTTTTTCGGCTTCGTGCGCGGTCTCTTCGCCAAATCATCAGGGATGCTCCTCGATGGTCCCCACCGGAGAAAAGACGTCCATTCCCTGTGCTTTTTTCGGTTTCGTGTGTGCTTTTTTCGCCAAATCATCAGGGATGCTCCTCGATGGTCCCCACCGAGGAAAAAATGCACACGTCCGAGCGATGCCAAGGGCGCAGCGCGGGGGGCTGCGGCGAGGCGGCTTGGCCCACCCTGGTCGGGACGCGCGCCGTGCGCAGGCCACGCACGTCGGGGGTCCGGGGCAGCCCCGCTGCGCGCGGCCCGCGGGCGCGAGGCGCCGAGGTCGGCCGCGCGGGCGCCTGCCGCCGCGGGGAGCGCGCCGCGGCCACGACGGTGGTCCCCTCTCTGGCCATCGCTCGGACGTCCATTTCCTGTGTTTTTTTCAGCTCCGTGCGTGGCTTTTTCGCCAAATGATCGAGGATGCTCCTCGATGGTCCTCGCCGAAGGAAAAATGCACACGTCCGAGCGATGCCAGGGACGGTGGTCCCCTCTGGCCCCTCTTCGGGTGTTGCTAGAAGTGCCCCTGGTCCAAGGTGCCCCCCGGATTCGCGGGGTGGCCCAGACGGCCTCCAGAGCATCCCGCACGAGGCCCAGAGGGCCCGAGGGGCTTCAAAATGAAGCGAAGAGCTGGGGGCACCTTGGGCCAGGGGCACTTCTAGCAACATCCGACCTCTGGCCTCCTCGCCCTGGAGCCGTGGACGACGGGTCGGGCACTCCAAAGCACGTCTGGGACAGGGTGCAGCCAACCCATATCCAGAGGCTCCCAACGTCGCGCTCCGCGCTGCGCGGGACGCGAAAGTCGAACAGCTTCGCGCTCTCGCGCCACCTCCCAGGGGAGAGGATGAAGATGAGGCAGAATCGGAGCCGAACCGCGAAGCGCGAATAACTTCGTGCCCTCGAGGGCTCCCTTGACATCAGAAGGATGCACGATAAGGGCGCAAGGGCATTGGAAAGTCATGCTGACACTCTGCCGCGGGTTGACTGTCATTGCGGTTCGGCATCCGGCTCGGCGAGCAGAAGCGGACCCGACGCGGCGGGAAAGGAGCGGGTGCCAGATGTGGCGCGGGCGAGCCCTGCTTGCCCGCCTCCCTTCACCGACAGCAAGCCCCCTCCTCTTTCCCCTGTGAACGTTCCCGTTGTGACCTGGCGTTCAAGCAATGAGCGCTGCATTGTGCCATCATTTCAGCAGTCTTATAAAAAAAACGAGGCTCTTACTCTAGTGCCAGTGCTGCCCTTTGCCGATCTCGTCGTTGCAACCGAGGGTGAGAGCCGACGTTCTCAACAAACATCAATGCGACCCCTCCACGCCTGAGGCCAACTGATTTCGATCGTGTGTGGAGATGATGACGAGACGGTGAATCGGGGGAGGTGAGCAGTGGAGATATGAGGGCGGAAAGTGGGCGAACGGAGGATGCAGAAGGGAGTGGAATGGAGGATTAAGGATGCTGGAGAATGGAGGAATGAGAGGAGCAGGAAGAGGCACATCATGAAGAGAGGCGGGCGGATGGGGGGACATGAGAGAAGACGGGCGGTGATGAAGGATGGAGGAGGCCGCCAGGGGGAAGGAGGGAGAACGAGGAGGGGGCGGGAGGATGAGAAGGCGGACGGATGAGGGAGGCAGGAGGAGTAAGGAGAAGAGGGTGTAGAGAGGAAGGGACGCAGAGAGAGTTGGGGAGGGAGGGCTGGTTGGGACAGGGCGGAAGAGGGAAGGATGTTGCCTTGCGCCATCCTGGAGAGAAGGGCACCTTCAGCATCGTGGACACGATCTCGGGGTCGCGCCTCTGCGCGGAAGCAGACACAGGCGGGTCCCGCTGCACGGCAAGGGGGGCCCTGGCCGCCGCGGTGACGGCGCGACGAGAGCTCAGCTCCAGGACAAACACTCAAGGACCGACCGCAACGATGTTCAAATCGAGATGGCGCTTAGATCGAAACAGGTAGCGGGGCGTTCAAAAACGAACGTTGGAAACAATGGTGCCAAACCAGCGAACAAGAAACAACGAGGCGATTCAAACAAGCAAGAACAACGAAACGAACAGAAAAAACGACGACACGCAAAACAACACAAAAGGCAAACACCAAGCAAAACATCGTTTCTTGCAAGTCTTACATGCAGGGATCCCCATTTGCGCGTCTCTTTCTTGCGCTTTCGTTTCTGAGCGTGGGTATGTGTGCGTGTGTGTATGAGTGCGCGTGGGAGCGCGAGTATGGGCGATTCTGGGTGTGAGCGGCTGCGTGTGAACGGGACTGAGCGGGAGTGAGTCCAGGTATGGGCGACTGGGCACGGACGCCTCAATACGAGTGAGCTGAGTGTAAGCGATTCTTAGAATGAACGAACCTGAACATGAATGACTGGGAACATGGGAGTCAGAGTGCGACTGGATACGAATGAATGCGACAGGGTATGAGCGCCTACGTATGAGTAAATCGGAGCGTGAGCTGGCCGGTGCATGAGCGTGGGCTGAGCGTGAGCCTTTGAGTACCAGGGTGGCTGGGCGTTGGTAAACCTGAGCACGTGTGATGACGCGCTTGTGAATCGAGTGAGTATGATTGGGTCTTGGTGTCAGTGGATCTGAGTGAATCAGTGAGTCCGAACTGTAATGAAAATCTCTTCCCACAGCCTCCAGCGGCCTCCTGGGACCTCCTGGCCTGGGTGGCCTCTGAGGTCTCCAGGGGCTTCCTGGAGCCCACTGGGGCCTCCTCGGGCCTCCCAAGAAGTGAAGCGTCCTGGGGGCCTCACGGTGCCTCCCAAGGCCTCCTCGACCCTCCTAGGGCTTCTGGGGGCCTTCTTTTGGGGCCCCGCTTGGGTTCCTGGGTCCTCCAGCGGCTTCTCGGTGCCTACATCGCGGCGATCACGGAGCCCTCCAGAGAGAGGACTGCCCATCGCCCCAGACGGGCAGTCCACCCGAGATGCCCAGGCCCCGCCGATATGGGCGCGACCGGGCCTGCGTCACACCCCCTGGCGACGCCTCTACTATGGGAGTATCAAAGGCGGTGCCTGATAAATTCGAGGAGGGACTCGGGTTCGGGAGACTCGCGTTGGTCTGACGGCGCCACCATGAAAATGACGAGACCCAGCCTGAAAATTGACAGACCCTATCGACGATGAGGGCCTTTCAGATCACGGAAACATCTCTGGGGGCGATTTCTCTGACCCTCCTCCTCCTCCTCCTCCTCCTCCGACTTCTCCAACTCATCGTCTTTCCCTTCCTACCTCCCTCCTCGGCCCCTCTTCCCCCCCTCCCTGCCAGCTCCCCCTCCCCGTCCCCCAATCCCTCCCTCCTCCAGCTCCCCGTCCTCCCCTCCCTCCCTCCTCGTCCTCCTCGTCCATCTCGCCCACGCGCGTGCTGCACAGCCACAGAGACGGCGGCAAGCAACGCTCTTGCCAACCCACCGGCTGCGGAGGCGAATCGAGAGCGAAGAGAAAAAACGAGACCGTGGCCGCAGGCAGAGCGCAGTGCGCACGGCGCGCTCGCACCCTGTTTTTTCTCCGTTGGCGGCGAGGCAGGGTGGCTGCATCGGCGATGGAGCTAGACAAACAGGAGGCGGGAGGAGGAGAAGGAGGAGGAGGAGGAGGAGGAGGAGGAGGAGGAGGAGGAGGAGGAGGAGGAGGAGGAGGGAGGAGGCGGAGGAGAGGCGGAGGAGGAGGAGGAGGGAGGAGGCGGAGTAGGAGGGAGGAGGCGGCGGCGCGGCGGCGGAGGAGGAGGAGGAGGAGGAGGAGGCGGAGGGCGGCGGAGGAGGGGAGGAGGAGGAGGAGGAGGAGGAGGAGGATGAGGGAGGGAGGGAGGGAGGGAGGGAGGGAGGGAGGGAGGGAGGGAGGGAGGGAGGGAGGGAGGGAGGGAGGGAGGGAGGGAGGGAGGGAGGGAGGAGGAGGAGGAGGAGGGGGCGACGGAGAGGAGAAGGAGGAGGAGGAGGAGGAGGAGGAGGAGGAGGAGGAGGAGGAGGAGGAGGAGGAGGGGGAGGAGGAGGACGGGGGGAGGGAGGCGGGAGGAGGAGGAGGAGGAGGAGGAGGAGGAGGGAGGAGGAGGAGGAGGAGGAGGAGGGAGGCGGCGGCGGAGGAGGAGGAGGAGGAGGAGGAGAAGGAGGAGGAGGAGGGAGGAGGAGGCGGAGGAGGAGGAGGAGGAAGGGAAACGACGCACAGGGCGGCCGCACACATACACACGCGTACGCCTCCGTGGCGAGCTGGAGGCGGCCACCTCCTCGCCAGGCGGCCTCGCTGCGCGGAGAGGTGGGGCGGCGCGAGCCGTTCGCCCGTCCTGGGGTGGCGGCCTCGCTGCGCCTGACGATCGGCGAACCAATGGATAAGAAAACGATCATCTGCTCCAACGCGTGCTCCAACCGTCCCCCTCTCTCCCGTCACGCCCCCCCCCCCCGCCCCCTCCCCTTGGCCCTTGGCTCGTGGGAGCGCCGCAGGTTAACAGACAGCTGATTGGGCCGCCGCCGCGTGCGCCCCGCAGCCGACACAGATCGGGACTCGATCTGGCTCCTGGACTTGGTGTCCTGGGCCGACCTCCTGGGGGTCACACGCTGGGGAGGCGAGGGATTTCAAGGAGGACGGAGTGCTGGCCTGCCTCCAGCAGACTCGACACCCCAGGAACTCATTCGGATGCGCCTCCACATCTTGATTCGTCGGTCGCCTCGCCCTTCTAGCTCGCTCGGGCTTCGGACCGATCGGGACCGCGCGCACGAATGGCGCGGCGAGATTCGCAACTCGCTCGGCAGCGAAGGCAAGGCAACGCGTCCTCACACTCGCCTGCTCAAGCTCGTTTTTTATGGCTACGTATGACGCGGACTGGCCTGCTGAACTCCAGCGCGACTATCTCAGCGAAGGTGCCGGCACACACGAACAAATCATCAATCGGCTCTTCTGCAACCACGCACGCCTCGAGACCTGCATTGATGTACCTGTGGGCACGGGTCCAGACGAAGCGAGGGCGCCGAGAGGCACCATTCCTGTGCAAATCTCGGGGGCGCGCAAACATGGATTAGCGATCCGTGGATTCGGCGCGCGGTCGCCAAATCCATGGATCGGGGGAAGTGCCCTCCCCGGAATGCGGCTGGGGCCGCCTCGTTCGGCGGCGGAAATCAGAGATTTCCCATGGAAACGGGGCCCGCCGCTAATCCACGCCCCCTTGATCCAAGTTTGCGATCGCCTGTCTGCCGCCAAACTGAGGCATATGGCGCAATCGCTCGCGCATGCTTCCCGAACCAGGGGCACCCCTCGGTCTGGAGGGCCAGGTGGTCCGTCACCATGCTCCGACGGTCGAGCGGCGACTTCGAGGGCCACTCCCACGTCGGGCGCTCGCAAATCCTCAGCGCCTTTTCGGCACTGCTGCACGGCTCATCCACCCCTCCACCCCCCCTCCCCTCCCCTCCCTCCCCTGCCCCCTCGCGCCCCCTCCTCTCCCGTGCCCCCACCCCTTCGGGGGCGCGGAGACATGGATTAGCGATCCGTTGATTTGGCGCGCGGTCGCCAAATCCATGAATCGGGGGAGGTGCCCTCCCCCAAATGCGGCTGGTGCCATCTCGTTCGGCGGCGGAAATCCGCGATTTCCCATGGAAACGGGACCCGTCGCTAATCCACGCCCCCTTGATCCATGTTAGCGATCGCCTGACCGCCCCCTCCCGCCCTCTCCCCTCCCTTCCCCTCCCCCTTCAGCGTAGGCGTAGTGCACACCCGCGGCAACGATGCCCTCTGGCATCTCTCCGCGGACCTCCGAGTTCCGAATTCCGAGTTCCCCTCCCCCTCGCCCGGTGCGGGGGCGCGCGTGTTCAGGGCGGTCTTGATGGGGATGATGAGCTGCGGGACCACCTCGGTCGGCCCGCGACGCGTCCCCGCCTCGGCCTCCTTCCTTCGCCTCGAGCGCTGCTTCGTAGGGGGGCTTCCCTTCACGACGCCCTCCCAACGCTTCACGTGTGTGCTCCGTGCATGTCGCCAGGGAGGGAGATGGAGGAATGAGGACGAAAGGGTTTCGAGGAGGCAGGCCCGAAGGAGGGAGGATGTGGAGCAAGGAGGAATAGAAGGGGGGCCCAACGACCTCCGACCACTCATCTGTTACGGAATCGGTGACATTACCCGCAAGCATTGTTTCCCTGCGTTGTCCCCTGTTCCTGTTCCTGTTCCTCCTCCTCCTCCTCCTCCTCCATCTATGATTCTTTTTCTGAGTCCGCCGACCCTGTCGGCGTGCGTGGGTAGGAGCCCAGGAGTGCTCGTCCGGGGGTGGTCTTGGGAGACGCTTTCCTGTTCGAACCCTTCCCCTCTCTCCCTGCGGCCTCCCAGGGCCCCCGAAGACTCGCCAGCCCGAGGGGGAGTAGGGGAACACGCAATGGCATGAACAAAACCACAGTTCGTTCGTTTATTCCTCTTGTGTCTTCTCCGTCTGCATCCAGCGTGGGTTGTCAGACAAGATGGAATGTTGGAAGGTAGAGGTAGTTACCAGATGTCAGAGCTCTGCGCGGATGTCTCGGATCGGCGCTGGACCCCCCTCACTGGCGCGCGGAGCGCGCCAAGGGTGGCGCGGGAGACGCCGCTAGGGGGCCCCGGCGCCAATCCGAAGGCTCCGCGCGGACCTCAGCGTTTTGATGCTTGTGCCGTTACTCCGGATTCGAAAATAAAGTGTGTGGGGGGTCACATTTGGGGTGGGGTCTGATTTGAGCTGTCTTGGAGGGTTCGGGGGGGTCTGGGCAAAGGGCCGCCCTTTCATGGATGGTCTGGGGGGGTCTAAAACTTCTCGTCTGGGAGGGTTGTGATCCCCTCCCTTTTATTACGACATCTGGAGTAATTGTTCCCCTACGAATCGGCCCAAGTCGTGATCAGGCTGGAGGGACGGCCCTTCCCTGGCAGGAGGGGGGTTTGGGCCCCCCGAGAGTGCGCCTCCAGGCTCCCCCCTCCCTTCCCCCCCTCTGGAGTGACTCGTGCGATCCTGGGGCCGATCTGTCTACCTTTGGGCCGCTCAGGCCTGCTGGACGCCTCTCGGAGCCAAGCTAGGGAAAAAACAATGGCACAAACATGCCAGCTCGGAGGTCCGCGCGGAGTATGACAACTGCTCACGGACAGCACGCTGTAAGGATGGAGGGCAAGCAATCTTCAGAATGCGGCTCGCACTCCTCCACTTTCCACTTCCCCTCCGACACTTTTTGGGGGGAGGAAGGGGGCGGACATCTCCAGCCGTCCTCTTTCTCGCCTCCTTTTCTCCTGTGCACCCGAGGAGGAATGACCCAGACCCCCGACGTCGTGCTTTTGTTCCCCTGGAGGTCCCAGCCCTTTCCCGAGGACCAATTTCCTTGCCGAGCCCCTTGGCTAGAACACGGCCCTTAGTGGCCGATGCCAGAGAAACACCTCCGTACATTCCCTGGGACCAGTTTTTCATCCCGAGTCGGTTTTTGACGGTCCCGAGGCCCCGTGAGGGCCCCCAGGGGCAGAAAAGGAAGAGAGTCGTGATTTTTCCATGGCCCGAGGGGGTCTGGGAAGGCTGAGAGGGAGGAGGGGACGGATGAGCCTCTCGGCAAGGGAGCTTCAGACCGTCGGGCGGGCGTGCGTGCGGCAGCGCCTGCGCGGCCGACCACGCCACCCGCAACTCCCGCATCGCCCGCCTTCAGATCCTGCGGTCGCCGTACAAGCTGAGCACTTGCAGCCGGGGCGCCGCGCCCGGCGTTTGCAGCGCCTCCGCCAGGCGCGCCGCGCCCTCGTCGCCGAGCTCGTTCCAGCGCAGGTCGAGCTTCTGCAGCCGGCGCAGAGCGCCCAACGTCCGCAGCGCCCTCGCCAGGTGCGCCGCGCCCTCGTCGCCAAGCCGGTTCTGGCCCAGATCGAGCTCTTTCAGCCGCGGCAGAGCGCCAGGCGTCCGCAGCGCCTCCGCCAGGCGCGCCACACCCTCGTCACCCACCTGGTTGAAACCTAGGCGGAGCTGCTGAAGCTGCGGCAAGGCGCCCGGCGTCCGCAGCGCCTCCGCCAGGCGCGCCGCGCCAACGTCCCCCACCTGGTTCCCGCCCAGGTCGAGCTTCTGAAGCTGCGGAAGAGCCCCTGGCGTCCGCAGCGCCTCCGCCAGGCGCGCCGCGCCCTCGTGCCCCAGCTGGTTCCAGCGCAGGTCCAGCTTCTGCAGCTGCGGCAGAGCGCCAGGCGACTGCAGCGCGACCGCAAGGCGCGCCATGCCCTTCACCCCAACCACGTTCTTGCCGAGGTCCAGCTTCTGCAGCTGCGGCAGGGCGCCCGGCGTCCGCAGCGCCTCCGCCAAGCACGCTGCGCCCTCGTGCCTCACCCCGTTCTGGCTCAGGCGGAGCTCCCGCAGCTGCGGCACCGCGCCTGGTGCCCGCAGCGCCTCCGCCAGGTGCGCCGCGCCCTCGTCCCCCACCTGGTTCCCGCCCAGGTCGAGCTTCTGAAGCTGCGGCAGAGCGCACGGCGTCCTCAGCGCCTCCGCCAGTCGCGCCGCGCCCTCGTGCCCCACGCAGTTTTCTCTGAGGCTGAGGCTCCGGACCTGGTGAGCGATGCCCGAAGCGATCACGTCGGCCACCCGCTGGTGATGGGCAAATTGTCCACCACCACTACCATATGTAGGACAGGGGGAGAAGGGCGGATGAGGAGGTCCTCCCCCTCCTCCTCCTCCTCCTCCTCCTCGTCCTCCTGTCCTCCTCCTCCTCCTCCTCTCCTCCTCTTCTCCTCCTTCCTCCTCCTCCTCCTCCTCCTCCTCCTCCTCCTCCTCCTCCTCCTCCTCCGTCCTCCTCCTCCTCCTCCTCCTCCTCCTCCTCCTCCTCCTCCTCCTCCTCTCCTCCTCTCCTCCTCCTCCTCCTCCTCCTCCTCCTCCTCCTCCTCCTCCTCCTCCTCCTCCTCCTCCTCCTCCTCCTCCTCCTCCTCCTCCTCCTCCTCCTCCTCCTCCTCCTCCACCTCCTCCTCCTCCTCCTCCTCCTCCTCCTCCTCCTCCTCCTCCTCCTCCTCCTCCTCCTCCTCCTTCCCCCTCCTCCCTCGCGTACATATGGCAGGGGTGGTGGACAATGGGCCCATCGGCTGGGCCTCGTCGTCCCCCCAGCCCAGGCCGACGTACGTCAGAGCCTCCGTGGCCAGGAGGCGCTGAACGAACGCCGACCGGTACAGCTCGGCGACCCTCGGGCGGTCTTCCCTGCCGTTGGTGAAGCTCTTGCTCTGGAGCTCTGCGTCAAGAGCGTCGGGAAGAACGGGGGCCGGCCGCCTGGCAGCACCACTCACGAGCGCACGCGTGCCACCCTTGGGCGCGCACCATGCAGCAGGTCCAAGGTCGACGAGGTTTCCAGGAAGCTTCGTCAGCGTGGCTAAGGAAGATTCGAAGAAACACCACCCACGATCAAAAAAAGGAGCAGCATTGCCTGACGAGGTGTAAACTGAAGAGTCATCGTAATCGGCAGGGAGGTGTGTCAGCATGAGGACTACGGTCTTCGGGTGGGAATAGAAGCTCCCCAAGCTACCCAACGCCTCCTGGAACAAGACAGATTCGGAGTCAAACCGGCCAATCGCACCGTCCTCAAAAAAATCGGTGTCGTCGAGCCTCTGGAATACACTCAGCTGGGGAACGCCCTCGCGATCCCTGCAATTCTGGAGGATGCAGCATCCGCCGAAACCCGCTGGCTAGGGATGAAAAGGCGTGTGAGCCACTTGGCTGTCTCCCTGTCTCCTCTCCCTCTCCCCATCCCCTGAGGCCCCAAATGCATGTGAGGGGGGGGGGGGAGAGGGACGAGCTCGCCATGCGTCGGAGCCTCCAAATCCACCCTCTGGGGCCGCTACGATACGATGCTCAAGATGCTTTCTTGCATGGCTTCGCAAAGGCTCCAACACGCTGGAGAGGTCGCAAGAGCTCCCAATATGATCTGAAGACGGCGCAAGATGCCCCCCAGACGCCCCAAGAGTGTCCCCAGAGGACCTACAAGAAACACGAGCTATCGATTCTCACACGTCTTTACAACCCAAGGCGGCCCGAGAGGTGCTCCAATACCAGCCGCAGTCGGCCCAAGAGGCTTCCAATAGCTAAGATGGCCCAAGAGGCGTCCAGCGACGACCGACAAGAACTCCAAGAGGGCCCGAAGAGACGGCTACGAGGGAGAACTCGCAGAAGCCCAGGATCTGCCCCTCAAGATGCCCACAAGACCCCCTGTCGTGCCCCAGAAGACACTCAGGCGGCCCCGGGCGGCCCCCAAAGTACTCCCAGAGAGCCCGCTGGGGGTCGGCGGAACGGCGCAGGCCCCCTGGAGAAGTCCATGAACACCGCCCATCGACCACCGAAACCTTGGGCATCGCTGTCGGACGACATCGACCGCAACGTCTGGCCCAAAATGCACAAGTTGTGCCCTCGGGGATCCGGGTGGTCTGCCTGCAGCCAACAGTGCGACACGCAGGCGACGCACAGCACATCGTCATCCCGATGCACGCCCGCGGCTTTGACCCCGCTGAGGGGCACGAAGGCACCCGACGGCAGTGCCTGGCGCGGCTCGAGGGTGCCGCCAGACTCCGCCCGCTTACGGGGGAGCAACCAATGCCATGCACATGATAATGCAAGATGGCGATTCATAACAAATAGGGGGAACGATGAAACAAGCTTCTTTAATTTCTATATGATTTGTTCAACGGGAGGAGGAAGATTAAAACATATGTCTATGAGGTCCGCGCGGATTCCTCGGATCGGCCCTGGACCCCTCCCTGGCGCGCGGAGCGCGCCAGGGGCGTCGCCGGGAGCGCCGCCATGGGGGGACCCGCGCGCCGATCCGAGGCACCCGCGCGGGCCTCCGAGGGGATTTTGTTTTTAAAGGGGAACTGGGACACACACACACAACCACACACACACAACCACACACACACAACCACACACACACAACCACACACACAACCACACACACACAACCACACACACACACAACCACACACACACAACCACACACACACACACACGCACACGCACACGCACACGCACACGCACACGCAC